TAAAATTCTAATTTCTAAAGTTCTCTAATCTTAAAGTCAAAAACTAAGTTCTCTAACTAAGTCTCTGAACCCTAGATAATTATGATAAAGAGAATAAAATATAAAAGGTAAACTTCAAATTATGATTGATTCGAAATATTCCAATTTGCTCAACATCTAAAACAAGAAGGATTCTCCTCGAATAATCATGATTTTATTTAAAAATAGATGGTAAAATATATTAATATTTGTTTATTATTTTTATGAAAACAAGGTAGGTTTAAAATAATTGAGTTTGTCTAACATCTAAGACAACCGAATTCTCCTTGATAATTGTTGAACACATTTGATATTTTGATATACCAAAAGTAATTAATATTTTAAAGAACTTTTAGCATTATATTCGATTTAGTCTTTCGAATATAGAAATTCTTTTTAAGGTAAAAAACTCCATTTTTACTCCATACTCTATTTACAATTTGAGTTATATACTAAAAATAATTTTCAAACATTTTTACAAAGGGTTTTAGATTTTAATCGAGTCAAAAAATAATTTTTAACCCATTAGTACTGATACTGCAAGAATAGTACTGATGTTGTTCATGTGGTATCAATACAGTATCGATACAAATAGCTTAAAAAAGCAAAGTAGTATTGGTACTTCTCATAGCATCATTGAAACTCCTTGTACAGTGCAAATTCTAATAAGCTATTTCGGTATCGATATTCTCTCAGTATCGATACTCTTAGTGGTAGTATTGATACTGTCTTTATGTTTTTGAAAATTGTAAATTCTAGTATACCATTTTAGTATCGATACTCCCCCTCACTAACGATTGGATTTTTATATTTAATGTAGATAGTATTGATACTCCAAGCACGAGTACCAATACTCAAGGCGTCTATGCAATATTTATTACGAGAAACTTTTTCCCAACGACTCTATTAACTCCCACAACAACCCAAAAAGCTAGAACTGAATGGAGGTGTAAAAACAAGATTCCAAGTCATATGTGAAGATAAGAAATTAAAGAGAAAACCAAAGCAATCACATAGAGTAAAAAATTCAAGTCAATATTCTCAAATATATTTTTTTTTCTTTTAAGAACACTTTTGTACTTCTTTGTTTTATTCTTTCAAGTGTTCTATGTGTTCCGAATTGAACAAACATATTTCTTGTAAGGTATTTTTCAAAGTTTCTATTTCTAATTTCTTTTTTGGAAGGGTTGTACACTTAAGGCTTTGGGGGTATAAGTCTAAGTGTGTTATAAGGTTACACCTTTTGCTAAAATGTTTGGACAAATTAGTGAATTTGTTGAAATCCTTATTGTGAGCTAAGGTAGTGGATGTAGACTTCATTAAAGAATTTGAACCACTCTAAAATTGTTTGTGTCAAAATTTTCATTTTCTTGTAAAAAGCTTCCATCAATTTTTTACAGTCAATTCACCCCCTCTTGGTCATTCCATTGGTTCGATTAACTAAACAATTATTTATAAAAATACAATTCGCCTAACGTCTAGGATAAAAAATTGATGTTTGTATATGTGTTTAAATATTTATTGTCAAATGATTGGGAATCTTTAAACTTATACTAGTTAATAATAATAATAATAAGTGGCAATTCAAAATTTTATTTTCTTAAATGGTTACACACATTTATTTTAATTTTCTCTCTCTTTAACACATTAAACTAAGTTTAACAATTTTTTCTCCAAAATAATGAATTTATAGTTATCCTCTCCAATATTACATACATTCATCTCTAGAATAAATATTAATAAAATTCTAAAATAATAGTTATTTGAAACTCATCAAGTGGCTTCAGTGATAAAATAGAATATTGTTCTCCCTAGAGGTCTGGAGTTCAAATAGTAACATTTGGAAGGTTTGTATGTTATCAATTAATTGGTTAAGAATGTTTTGAACAAATACTACCTTATAATCACATCAACCTATTAAAAGAAACGAGGCATAATGACAAAAATAATACTTAACATTTGACCAAATGGTTACTTTGTTCCATATTTTTTAGAGCATTTTTGCTATCAACATTTCATTTTAGGGCAAAAAAGACTTCTCCATACATGAAATCAGTTAGTCAACAAACGATTAACACATGGAGTTGATTCAACATGTACATGTGGACAAAATGCTGATGTGATATTTCCACAACAACATGCCACATCATCAAACATTCATTCACATGATGACATGGCATTTTGCAATGTTATCATGACACATCATTTTTTTTAAATAATTTTATATAATTAGCTTATGAAATTAAAAATTGAAAGAATTATATATGTAAATTTGTTCTTATGATTCTTAAGCTCTTTTTTTTACAAGAGAATGGATGCTTAATTTTTAAGCTTTAACTAATTATAAAATATTATAAATATTAATTTTAAAAAATTCAATCTCCAAGTTAAACTATAGAAACCAATCATGTTTGATTGGTTCTAACTAGGTTAATTAAAAAATAATTATATAAAATTAATTTAAATTAAAAAATATTAATTTGATGCAACATGTTGCTGATTTGATTAAAATGTCATGTCATCATGTGTATAAATGTTTGTTGACATTACATTTTTTTTATAACGTAGGTTGATGATGTGGATATGGCACATTATCATTTTGTTCATATGTACATCCTGAGTTAGCTCAATATACTAATTGTTTATTGACTAATATTTTTATCTATGGAGAGATCTTTTTCACTAAAATGAAACGCTCGGGCCAAATTACCCAAAAAAAAAAGAATAAAGGGTAAAATGATCATTTAGTCAAACGTTAGGTACTATTTTTATTATTATGCCAAAAACCAATAGATATATGTATTTATTAAAAGAAAATTTTATTTTTATTATATAAAAAATTAAATAAATGTGTAAAAAGTTTAAAACTTATTTTAAAAAAATATTAAGTTTTTTTGAAAAATTCTAAATCTAACTATAATCATATCTATAGAGGAAGTGAATGGAAATTATAAGAAAATGAAAAAGAATGCTTCTAGTGGGTCTAGAAACTATGGCTAAGAGAATATGAGAGAACAAAAATGAACAGTTTGACCAATTGATGAAATGTAGTTGTTCAAAAATCAGTTAGGTTTAGGAGAATTGTTTTTAATATTTTTATTTTACAATAGGATTAAAAAAAATTCACTTAAACTATCAATTAATAATTCATAAAGTTAACATTCAATATAATCTGTAATTAAGCATAGTTTATATTTGTAAATTTATTATTTAACTGATTAAATTATAATATAATAGGGTAAATTATATGTTTAGTATTTAAAATATCAGTTTTGGTCCGTTAGTATCTAAACTTTCACTTTTTTTCTTTCAGAATCATATCTAACCTTTAGTTTTTGTTTCATTTTATTACCTCGTAATTAAAAACTTAAGAAAAGGGCTCACCGACCGTTGTGTCTACAGACGTCACTTGTCGCATCCATCGACCGATGAAGCTCAAACTTTCCAGCTTACACCTTTTCAACCCCTAAATGCAATTTCAACCTCCATTTCGCTGAGGAACACCTTAATCTCCCCAAATCGATGATGAACTTTTTGGTTTCTTCATCCTCTGATTGTCATAGTCTACCGTTTGATGGGTCTGATACTGGACTATGTTGGTCGACTCGTCATTCTCTCATGATCTACCATTCGGATTATACGTCCCTCCACCGGAGCTATGCCATGTCAACCTGTCTGTTAAGTTTTTAACGGTGGAGTCCTAAAATGAAACAAAAACTAAACATTAGGTATGATTTTAAAAAATAAAAGTTTTAAGTACTAAAACGGATCAAAACTGATATTTTAGATATTAAATATGTAGTTTACCCTATACTATAATACATGGTTATCGATCCATTAAATAATACTCTATATATAATTTTATTATTTTTTTATTTGTAATATAGTTTAATTATTTATAATGATTATCAATTTAATATGTGAATTAATTGGTTATTATGAATACTAACATGTCACTCGTATAAGTAGATTATCACTTATCATAATTTTAGAATGTAAACTAAAAAATTCTCATACTTATTTCAAACTTTTACTTTATTACATTTAATTTTATCAAAAATATTTAATTTTTCAAATATAATTTTAGCAATAATAATAATAATAATAATAATATCTTATTTCTGATTAAACTATAAATTATTATTTTTCGGAGCATAAATCATAAATCATAAATCAGAGGGTAAACTGCATATTTAGCCATCCAACTATTATTTTAGTTCGTTTTGGTCACTCAACTATTGTTTTTCAAAGTTATACCCAGAGTTACGTTTTAGTTCCGTTTCGATCACTTGTTAAAAAAATAATAGTAATATTTATGTGTCATTATAAGATAATCTCACATTATCATTGAAAAATTAGGAAATTATTACGTCCAATTTTTATTTTTTAACAGTAGATGACTAAAATAGAACCAAAATGTAACATTTAGTATGATTTGAAAAAATATTTAAGTGACTAGAACGAACAAAGTAATGTTGAGTGACTAAATACGTAGTTTACCCTAAATTGTATTTGGATAAAAACACTAAAAATTATGGGTAAATTACAAGTTTAGCACCTAATCTATTGCTTTTATTTCATTTTAGTACCCAAACTTCAATTTTTTTTAAACTTAACATTTATTTTACTTTTCATTTTGGTACATGTAGTTAAAAACTTAACTGAACTACTAACATGATATTTTTATTATCTTTTCAATGATGATGTGATATTACCTTATGATGACACATCAACATCACTGTTAAGTTTTTAACGATAAGTTACAAAAAATGAAATATAAACTAAACATAGTATGATTTTGAAAAAATATGAAATTTAGGTACTAAAACAGAATAAAACTAATAATTTAAGTATTAAATCTGAAGTTTATTAAAAAGATACTTGCATTATCGAAAGAAAAACAGGCTTGGCCAAATGCAAGCGGACAGTGAACCCGGCAATAAGCAGACAGAGCGAGCATCTTCGCACACAAGAGGACACTCACTCCATGCAACTGCGAAGCACGAACCCAGCTCAGCTCAACTCTAACTCGACTCGAATCAACTCGACTCAGCTCCAGCATTTCAATCGCCCTTTCTTTATTTTAATCTTTGTCACCACAGTTGACAATTTTAAGGGAAAACAAAAACAAAATCACCATTCTCTCCCCCCACCCCCCACAAAATCAAAGCAAACCCTAGAAATTGATTATTCCATAATTTCCCTTTCCTATCCCAAATAATTTAAACTCATCTTCACTCGATCGAGCTTTTGCTCTCGTCCAAGCTGTCTTTCTCTTACCTCAAATAAGGTATTCCCAAATTTTGAATCTTTTTTCTGTAGTGAAGTCTCCGTTTGGTTGCTTGGATTTCTTCTTTTTTATTTTTTCAATTTAAACGATAACTGAAGGCTTTGTTTAAGCTTTTTTTTTTTTTGATAAGACTTTGTTTAAGCTTTTGAAGCTGCAGTTAGGCTCTCTTGGTAATTTGATGATCCTAGATTTTAGATTCTCATCTCATCCGAGTTTCTTAAAAGCATACTAGTTCATTCTTTCTTAATGTTAGTTTTAATTTAGTTAAAATTGAAGGCCATTTAAAGAAGACTGTACAACTCTACCTAATTATGTGTGTCACGATCCTTCAGTCTCTTTAACTCCTTTAGTTTCCTTAAATGATGTAGGTGATGTAGGTACCTTGATGAATGAAGTTAATTATGTCTTTTGAGTAGTTGGTTTACCCTATTCATGGCTCATTTATGTTACGCTGGGTAAGGTTTTAAGAACATGAAATCACTACGATTTTGAAGCACTTGTTAGCATATTTCCATTATTGAATTCCTGTTCTCCTTTCATCTCAGATGGTATTATTATTCTCTTATGAACTCTTTTCCTGATTTCAAATTCAAAGTAGAAATTGTCGAATGCTAGAGAAAGCTGAGAAAATATCTTTTGAAGCTTTCATTTATGTTAGTTTTGCCTCAATGTTGTTAATAAGTTTGAATTAATAGTTGTGATGCCATTTTCTTTATCATGGTTTAGGAAGAAAGAACACGCACGTAAATATAAAATCTTAGTTGATATTGAATAATAACTCCACTAAGTTTTATTTAGGTTGAAAGCTTTTTTTGTGTGTATGAAATTGATGTTAATTGACGACATAGTTAAAATTTTCGTGGAGGAGACAGTAGATGGGTTGATCTAGTGTTCGTCTTTGCAGTAAGATGTTGAAACTTTCACAACATTTAGCATTCACTTCTTTTTTCTTTGTAAAAGAGAATCATCTAAAACGGCACAATATGGAAAGAATATTATTTGATCCACAGTGTTCTCAAAGTTATATACATATAGACTATAAATGGGTCATTTGTAGAATAATGTAGAGTACGTGATCACTTTTAATATTTTTGCCAACTTAATAACACAATGAAATGGAACAGGATCTTGGGTCAAAATCTGTGGGAAAAGCCTAGGTCCAACTATTTATGTTTGCTTCGATATCTTTGTTCATGATAATCTTGGATTTTTATAAAAATGTGAAAAGGAGATGAAATCAAAGTTGTGGAGAATTGAGTTTGGTAACCCAGGAAAACCAGCAAAATAAAATGCATTGTGATGAAATTTTAGCAGAAGGTGAAAGGGAAGAAAATTCAAACTTGGTCATTAGGGTTGCGGCACCATTTTGTATGAAAATTTATAGTAGTGCACTTCTTAATAATTTTTTGTTTGATTAAGCTTGCTGCACCATTTTTTTTCCCTTTTTATTAAGCATTAGATTAAACATAAATTTAAACACTTTCCGTGTACAATTTTCCTTTATTTTTGTCTAGTTAACAAAATAAGTTTTAATCTCTTTTTCAGATTGAAATAGAGTAGCTGAGCAGGGTCTTCTGCAGTCTGCACTATCTGTTACTGTTCCCTAGATAATTATTTGTGATCATAGGAAAATGTGCTTACCTATGGGTGATGATGAGCCAGCGATGAGATGCATGTGAGGCACTTGGTTACTTTCCAAATGCTTTGATCTCTCTGTTTATCTCTGTCTTCCTTTGTCAGGTTAACTCTCTTTTTAACCTAAGCATTCTAAATCTTAATGGAAAATTGGTGATATAAGTACCAATAAAAACTATGGGCTATCAAGGATGAAGGCAATTTTGATGCTTGAAATGTATTTTTAGTTTTATTTTGATTTTTATGGAACATAGGACTTTGAGATGGGTTCTTGCTGCTCATCCGTAGCCAATGGAAAAAGTGGCAGCAATAGAGACGGCCTAGTTACAAATGCCAGGGCTACAACAACCTGTGCTTCACCTAAGAAGCAGAAGCAAAGGCAGGGGTCAGGTAGGTGGAGGAAGAAACCAAGTGGGTTAGTGCCAATGGATGAAGCAGAGCTCAATCTCATTCCAGGGAGAATGTTTCTGAATGGTGCCAGTAGTGTTGCATGCTTGTATACCCAACAGGGGAAGAAAGGAACCAATCAGGATGCCATGCTTGTTTGGGAGGTTAGTCTTAGCGCTTGTTATTCTTCTAATTAATGTTTTCTTGTTGCGTTGTTTCCTTTAACGTAACTTATCTATCGTTGTCACTTTAATTAGTTTGTTAATATTCGTTTTCTTTCTTTAGGTGAGTTTTTTATTTATTTCCTCTTTTTCCTCTATGGCATCAATATGTGAAGACTTGGTTTCATTGTTTCTTTATTAGAATTTCAGTTCGAGAAGTGATACAATATTCTGTGGTGTATTTGATGGTCATGGTCCTTATGGTCATATGGTTTCCAAGAAAGTACGAGATTCTCTTCCTGTTATATTATGTACCCAATGGAAAGCTAGTCCTACTGGTGATCAGAGTGGTCTTAATAAGAGCGAAAATGCTCCTGAAAGCACCGTGTCTGAGGATGCTGCATCTTTGAGCATGGATGATGAATGCTTCGAGTCATTGGAGATTGAAGAAAATGAACAGCTCCCGGAGATGTATCTACGTCTTAAGCGGTCTATGATAAAAGCTTCCAAATTAATGGATAAGGAGTTAAAGCTGCATCCAACAATCGATTGTTTCTGCAGTGGGACGACTGCTGTTACTTTGGTGAAGCAGGTATTAGTCTTGAGTGAACTAAAATTCAAAATTAGTCATCTCTTGGATCTGTTAATCATAAGGTGTGTTACCCAGCTTAATATTTTAACATTTGGGTAGTTAATGGATTTGTCTTATTTTTCTAAATATAACAGCCAAGTAATTTTGAAGTGTGTTCAGAAATATAGGATTTGAACTTTGTTAAACTGCACATGCTAATGTGTCTTGTCTGAGAACCTTGAAAGTTTTATTTCACGTTATCTAACCATTTGATGACAAATATGGTTTTTTAGGGTCATGATCTTGTAATTGGAAATATTGGTGACTCAAGAGCAGTGCTGGCAATGAGAGACAGAGATAATTCTCTGATTGCTATCCAATTGACTGTTGACCTGAAGCCTGATTTGCCAAGTCCTCTCTCTCTCTCTCTCTCTCTCTCTCACACACACACACATAATGACTTACAAATACAGATTTTCCATATATTTGTGTCAGAATAACAATAATAACTTGTGCTATCCTATTTGAATAACCATCTATAGAACTAATAAGTTCTTGCAACATTATGTTTAGGGGAAGCAGCTAGAATTCAGCAATGCAAGGGAAGGGTTTTTGCCTTGCAAGATGAGCCTGAGGTTGCACGTGTATGGTTGCCCAATAACGACTCACCTGGTTTGGCAATGGCTAGAGCTTTTGGGGACTTCTGTCTAAAGGATTTTGGTTTGATTTCTGTGCCAGATGTTTTCTATCGCCGCCTTACTGAAAGAGACGAATTTGTTATTCTTGCTACTGATGGGGTATCTTCATCTTCGATTCTTTGTAGTACATCAATCTAATTTGAAAATTTTGTTGAGGACTCTGAAAACATGGCTGTGAGGGACCCTTTTCTTTCACCCTGTTCATTGTAGCCTGTAGAGAAGTCCATTTATAAATGCACTTCCTTCTGCCTTTGTTTTGGGAAAATATATATCTATATTTTTTCCTTTAAAAGTTCATATAAATTATCCGAGAGCTCAGTTTTAATTTTGGGCAGGTTTGGGATGTGCTTTCAAATAAGGAAGCCATCGATATTGTGGCGTCAGCCCCTAGTCGCTCAACAGCTGCTAGGGCTCTTGTAGATTGCGCGACTCGAGCATGGAGGCTTAAGTACCCTACTTCTAAGAATGATGATTGTGCTGTTGTATGCCTCTTTCTCGAATATTTGCCTGCAATTAATGGATCTGCAGAAGAAAACAACATAACAAGGACTTCCAAGGAATCCGGAGAAACGACGGTGGCTATTGCCGATAATAAAGGAGATTCTCAGAGTTTAGGTGTTGGTGAATCAGACACATTTCATGGTTGTATGGAAATCGTTCCCGCAACAGAAGAGTCGGAAGAAAAATCATCTTGGAAGTTGGGAGGGCAGTCGAGGAGGAGTCTCGCAGAGTGCATTTCGGTTGCGGAAGAAGAAGAGTGGTCAGCCTTGGAAGGTATTACAAGAGTTAATAGCTTATTGAGCCTACCTAGGTTTCTATCTGGTGATAAAAGATCAACAAGCTTGAGAAAAAAATGGTTATGAGAGAAGTTAGTTAGTTAGACGGGCAAAATAGACATGTTTGGGTGATCTCACATTACTGAATTATGAATCATAAACTAAATTCGTTGTTTGGTGTTTTTAAAGCTTCTTGCTGCAATTATATATAACGTTGTATCTTTCCCTTCTCCTAGAATTCGTGTATGAAAGGATCCTGGTTTGTTTCTTTATTCGATGATAAATGATTGAGGTTATTATAAAGTAATGTCATGTCATCATTAAAAAAATTAACGGTGATGTTAACGTATTATAATAAGGTGATGTCATGTCATTATTGAAAAAATAGAAAACATTACATTAGTATTTCTGTTAATTTTTTAACGGTGATGATCAAAATAAAATTAAGATTTGAATAAAATAGTTGAGTGCACCAAAATGATAGGGTACTAAATATGTAGTTTACCCTTTTGTTTTTGTATATGAGGTCTCAACCTCGGAAAAATGTTGCAGAATCCTGTAGCTTTTCTTAGGCTTAAATATGTACTTATCCTTGAATTTGTCTGTTTCTCTTAACATATTATCTAATGATTTTTTCTCAACGTTGATCGAGGATATTCGGTTTGATTTAAATAAATTTAATTTTTTATTTTATAATTATATATGTATATTATTAAAAAGGGTAGGATCAAACGGTCCTAAAAATGTATAAAATTAAAAGATTTAATTTCAACTTTTGATTTCCTTCAATCCAACAGTCTTAAAAGGTGTAAAGCTAAAAGAGTTTTACACAGTGTCAATGGATCCTAACTCTTATTACAATTTTAATTTATTTTTAAATATATTTTAAATTTTATAGAATTCATTGAATTTCTTATATGTTTTTTATTTGTACATTATCTTAAGAATTTATATTGTGTAAATTATATATATATAAATAGTAAATTTTATATAATTTCTTATAATCTTTTTCTGATTTTGGATGAAAAATGTAAATATGAAATCATTATGGTGTCACTATTTAATTTTTGCTATCTCAAATAACGTATTAATAATATTTGCGCTGCACATCCCATAATTTGTGTTTGATATTGACTAATGCATATAGTTTTATGAGATATATTTTATCAAGGAAAATGACAAAATTAACTATAAAGCGATAAAGTTTGAGAAAATTTCAGATAATCGAATCGAATCAGAATTTTAAGATATTTTGAAGGATGATAAGGCAAGGTTAATAATGTCATTTCCATACCTTAAAATGGTAGGATTTAATATGGATCATTGGATTTAAGTTGATTTTCCATGATAAATATAGACCGTTTGATGAAAAATGGCAAGATTGTAATTTTGAAAAGTACAAAGGCAAAGTTGGAAGTTATTAGTTTGTTGGTTCATTTTTGACCTTTGGATGAACAAAATTGTCATGTGACTTGATAATAAACATGAGATTATAAGGGTAAAATAGTCATTTGGTATTAAAATGAATTTTTAATTTCATTTTATTTATTAAAGGACAAACGGCCTTAAATGAAAAGAATGAAGTTTCATGATTTCTCTCCATTTCTCTCCATTTCTCCTTGCTGTCGTGAACTTCTCCTAAGGTAAGGGATCATCTTGCTTTTGATGAAAAACAATTAGAAATGATTATTGATAAGCTCAGTTGTTTGGTTTCATGTGGGAAATGGAAGTTTGGATTGAAATTGATATGAGATTAATTGTACATGCATGAACATGATATCTAGAAGTTGAATTCATGCTTGAATCAAGTTGGAAATCAATGTTAAAGAGACCTTTGATTTTCGGCCATGGTAAATTAAATAGGGAAAATTATGAAAAAAAAAATTATACAAGGGTTAGAAATGATAAATGCATGATTCTACAAGCTTTAAAATGTTGTTTGGACCATTTTGGAAGTTTGTAAAGTTTAAGGGACCAAATCAAAAATAGTAGGAAATATGGGTTTAAAATGAAAATTGGTTAGAAGTTGATGTGTAATGTTTAAATTTATTGTTGGAATGCTTGCATGTGTTGTTGGAGCTTGAACTTGAAGTTAAATGGAAAAATGATTTAGAAATATTGAGATCAATTCTAAAAGAATTATTTTAGTGATCAAATTACGAAATTGGAAATATTATGTGACTTATTCATTGAATTGGATATTGAGGAACTTGAAGTTTTATTTTGAAGTGTTAAGATTGGTCGAAATTGATTTAATATCAAAAGATTTTTTTAGGAATTTATTTCCTATTATACGCTTATGTTAGTAAGATGCTAACATGTATTTTGAAAATGTATGTGTTGTGTAAACTATGTACATGTAGACCGTGACAAAAACATAGACCGAAACGTGATAAAAGCTAAGTAAAAGGTTCGAGAATAAAACATATCGATAAGAAAGGTTTGATAGTCGACATACCAGGTGAGTGCATTCTTATCTATATTATTATATGTATAAAACAAGGAAGATTTGCAATAAGTCAACATCGAATGTGTTGATCATGAAAAAGATTTGAATCATATATGATATATATTTTCATAATAATTTTTGAAATGATATTTGAATGACTTTGGGTATGAACTGTCCGATGTATTGTTATTTGATATTTTGACATATACATATTGATAGTCTTTGTATAATTGACTTGCCATGAGGTGGAGTATTAGCAGCTGCATTGTACTTAGCACGTAAGTGATAATGGTGCTATTGTACATTCAGGATACATTATATGGTACACATGAGATATCAGTGCCTGCATGTATGTGGTGTTGGTGCGATGTATTTCTTATTATTGGTATATTGATATTGTGTTCTACTCTACTTGTGCATTATATGTGGCATTAAATGTGCAAATTGTCCATGCGACACTAATGGAGCAAATGGTCTATGTGGCGCTACATGCACAATATATATATACTCATTTGTGACTTGCATACCATGCATTGTAATTTATTATACATTGAGTTGTGATTTGATTGAAATGAAGAAGTACAGTTTTAATCTATTTTATTGAAAATATTTTTTTATCAAGTAGTTTGATTTCGCATTGGATGCTTTATATTTAAATTATTGATTTGCGGGTTAATTTTATATGAGAATGAATTTGATAAGTCAAATTGATTTTTATTAAATATTCTTATGTGATGTTTTCTATATTACGATACATGTGATATATTTTTATACTAGTATGCTTTATTTTTATTATGAAAATGCGTCACTAAGTGTATACTTAGTGTGTGATGGTTTCGCGCGTAAGTAAAGAAAAACAAGTGGAGTAAGAAGCTTAGTTGGCATCACTTAACGAGGATTCACTTCCTAATATATGTATGACATATTTTGATGCTTTTGATGTTTCTAGTTGGCATGTATATTTACATGCCGTGATGCTCCGATATGTTTATGATGTTAAATGGTTTGTAATAGTTATATGTGTGAATTTTAGTAAGTAAAATATAATATGAATATGAATATGAATTTTAGTTTAAGATTTTGGTAAAGTTATATTTTATTAGTATAAAGATAAATTTTCGTTTAGGTAGTTTTTAGGCAGTTTTACTTGTTATATGATATACTTTTGAACTGCTTGGTTGATGCCTGAAATCTGATATGATTTGGATGATTAAATATTATTTTTCAGTTTTACGCGATTAAATAATTTTTAGCAATTAATATTAATGAATGATTTTTAAAAGAAATAAAATTTTACTAATCTTCGATTAAGAATTGTTTTAAATGTTTTGTATGACTTATCTGACTCATATTCAGTGACAAATACGGGAAAAGGTGTGTTTCAGTTTAAGTCGCACAGGCCTGTAAACATGATGTTCCATGTAGATGCATCTCATCTCCAAATGAAGAACAAAATTGAAAGAAAACTTGAAGCTTATGTTTCATGTTTGAGTTATCTATACCTGATCTCATCAAGTCCAATCACACATGGAACAATCCAGCTTGATGATGATATTGTTGCTATTATTGTTGGACTGCAGCGATCAGAAAATAATGATATGATCAAGTTTTATGTTGAAATTGAAAAATGCATTAGATGTTTCGACATCATCAACAATTGCATCGGCAATAGAAGAACCAGAAACATCTATATCACATAGAAGTGATGCATATGATAATCTTGTTGGCCGATTCGGTGATAGCCTTGTTGAGTTTTATGGGGATGATGAAACTATTGTTCCATTAATGGGAGATGATGACGCACTAATACTTGATTTCTATGTTTTTTAGGCTTCTTTTGAGGGACAAGGTTTGGATCTTGAGCCTAATGTATTAGAGGCAATTGTTTCAAAAGGTCATGGGTTACAGAATGCACAAAAAGTTTTGGCCTAAACACCAATATAACCTTAACCCCAAATAACTCTAAATGATTTACCTCTGTATCATCATGGAGTTGCAATGCATGACATTAATTACCATGCTATAGGGAATCTTGAAATTCATGATATGCTAGAGATACATGATGCCCACTAGTGTTATTCATACGATGGATCAAAGGAGTTGGCAATTGATTCCCAGTTTGAAACTAAAAAGGATGCACATTTGGCAACTAAGGAGTACTGTATAAATGCTCATTTCCAATTATATGTCATGGAATCTAAGAAAAAACATATTTTGTAAGTTGTATACACAATGATGACGAGTGTAACTGAAGAATACGAGTTTCATACTTACAATGGAAGATGTTGTAGGAAGTCATAAGGTTCAATGGCCAGCATGCATGTATAATAAGCTCATTGACACAAGACCACAAACATTTAGATTCAGATGTCATATGCTCATATGTCAAACTTTTGGTCAAAACAATCTAAAGATACTCGTTTCACTGTTAGTGGCATACATCCGAAATACATTTGGTTATATTTTGTCTTACTACAAGTCATGGATGGCTAAAAAGAAACCAATAATATTGTTGTACGGTGATTGGGATCAATCATATAATGTACCACATCTGCTGCAAGCAATAAAATTTTTCATCCCTGGAACCATTGTAAGATCCTATACTCTTTCTAAGATCACACTTCGCGGAGAAGTTATCTCTGGAAAGAGAGTTCTTGGTGGCTTGTTATGGGCTTTCAAGTCATCTATTGAAGGGTTCTGGTTTTGCAAACAAATGATTCAATTCGATGAGGCTTTTTT